AAGAAAAATATCAAGACTTTCCTAAAATTCCAACAAAACAAGTGTTATTATTCACAACTATCGCAGCTTGTTTTAAATGCTATCAAATGTTAGTAATGTTTAGAAGTCATATCTCTTGGAAATCCCAGCTTGTGATAAATTGTATTTTCCAGAAATAAATAATAGTCATAGTACCATAACATCAAAAGGGTATTGAGTTTCAAAGTGTGAGAAAGTAATTCGATATGCGAAATCAAAGTTAAATTTTTATGGAGAGAATAGGGAAAGACTTTATGAGAGTCTGCTATATGTACTCTTCTGGAGATTATATTAATTATTGGCCAGAAATTGGGAACACTGAGAAGACTTCGACTTCCTTTCTATTTAGTCTTTAGAATATTCCTTTCCTTAATATTTCTTTAAGCTTTCTTAAAATTCTTTTCCTTTAATAATTTGAACAGAGTCTTTAAAGATCTTAGTGATTTATTATATAGTATAATTTTTAGTTTGTATCCAATATTTATATTTTTATGTATACTTATGATTAACACTACAAATCCTAAACCTAAGATCTGGAATTTTTCAGTGGAAAAACTATTACTTATTTCAGTTGACAAAGTACTTGCGATAGATTTACAACTTAGTTTGTGGTCTTTAAACCTCAAAGGTTTAGTGACTTAACTTTCCTAGAAAAACACCTCGTTGTTTAAAGTATGTTTTTAATATTTTTAAAAGACAGTTTCCTAAGGTGATCATCTTACAAATTCAAAACCGAATTTATGTTGAGTTTTCTGGAATACTTAGACCTCATTTTATCTCGTTTATAGGCTCTTAAAACACTGACCTTCACTCCCCCTCAACTCAACCCGATAAAAAGGCGAGATGAATGAACAATAATAAAAACCTAGATAGGTCGAGTTCAGACTCCCTTTTTTATTTCGGCTTATCTCGGGGTAATTTCTTGTTTCCCGCATAAACTCCCCAGTGATTTCGCTCCCGGTCTCAAGTGCACTACTCTCTCGTTTTTTGTCACATTTTGGTTGCTTTGTGTGTGTTCTTCTCTCTTTTTTTATCAAGTTAATTCCCAAGAACCCGCTCAATTGTTAGCTCAACAGATCTGGGATCGGGCCACTTAGTCTAACAGTAATCGACGCTAAACGCTGTCTTGCTGATTGCTGACAACTTAATCAACGAAAGAAAGCCGAGGGAAAGGCATATGAAACAAGGCGCTCTTATATATGGCCATGCCAGCTAATATCTGTGTGCCGACGTCTATCTATAACGCCCATATATAGTATATAGTATAAAGTATATAGTAAATATACATATATATAATAGATGTGCACCCGCATATACATAGACTGCGCTACTTATGGGAGGGGAGAGATGAACGCGCAGACACGTCCCTGAACTTTGGGCGAGATCAATTTGCACTGTCGCGAATTGGATTCGAAAAATGCGAAATATGTCAAAATGGCAATGAACAGAGAGTGTAGGATCATCTCTCTAAATGACAGATCATTGTCTTGGTCTGATCTCTGGGAACTTGTGACTTCTCCACGCCCTATTCTAACCCTGCCTAGACTCTGCGGCTTCTAGAAATGTGAAATTGTCAATGAAAAGATTATCTTTGTGCAAAAGTAATGTGTAATATTCTAGCTATAACCTTTCAATTAAACTGTCTGACTCTGAAAGATCTCGAAATGATAAAGAAATTATAGAATTAAACCTAGATAGGTTTGATTATGCTAAAGTAACTTTACTTATTAATCTTTAAATCAAACACAATCACTGTATTTATAGGACTCCGTTTAAAGTATTAAAAACTAAAATCTATAGTTTAAAGATAATGAAAATTTAAAATTACACTTTTTTAAAACATTTTTCGAAACAAGCAAAGTAAAAATAGTGACTATCTCACTCCTCGTAAAGCTAAAAATGAGGTCAGTCCGGATGTCTGCCTGGTGAAAAACATAGATTTTTGATTTTTTACTATACTTTTTTAATTTTTTTTTTTTTACAACTTCTTCTTATTTTCAAACAATGCTATATTTTTGGTCACTTATTTTTTACGCTTTGCAATTTGAACATTTTTTAAGAGCTCTCAGTTCGCTGAAGTTAATATTATGCGAGTACTTACTTATAGTCTTACGGGGGCCCTCAACAAGTTTTGATTTATTTGCCGCGGGTCTCCCTGCATTTTAATTGTATTTGTATTTTGTATTTTGTATTTGCTGTTTTGTGAAATTCTGTTGACTTAATTGGCCTTCCGAAACGAATCGTTTGCCATCCGCAATGCAAATTGGATTGCTGCCACTATTTGATTGGGCTTCGATACGCGCGATCAGCCATGATCTATGGCCAAATGCCCTTGCCCCCTCAATTTGGATGGCCAGACAGAGTCTAGTCATTGAATCGATCAAATATAAATATCAAATATACTTGGTACAATATGCATTTTGGTTTTGAAATATTGAAAACGCAAGAGATGAGTTTAAAATATAGAGAAACTCAACTGATGCTTGCTTTAAGTATTAATTTTAAGTGAATTAGTCTTTTGTTTGAGTGAAAATATGTAAATGCTACTTTAGTTTTTAACTTTAAATAAGTTAAACAATATTGTGATTGTTCTGTAGATATACCTTGAAACTAACTTTTAAACACCTTTTAAAAGGATTTCAAAATTCTTCAGATATTTCTTTCGGAAACCCCTTGTATTTAAAATTCTTTACCAGTTATATACCAACTTATTTCCATAATCAACTTGTTCAGTGTATTAACTGACCCATATCTTTGCCTTTTCCTGCACTTGCATCCTCGATTATACATTATTTTATTCTTCAGTCTGCTTCAGCATATAGTCTTCCCCTTGATAAGGGTCGGTCGAAGATGAAAGATTCCAGCAATGATCTTAGCTCTTCACCCTTAAGTCTTCCCAGTAAAAAATAAGTAATTATACATATCGAAACATATGTATATAGTTATGTATTTGGACATACATTTAAATACATATTTATGGGCCCTATGCCGATAAAGCAATCATTGTCGGTCACCACTGACCATAAATGTTAGGGGCCACCCTGCAAAACTATTCGTTTTCCGATTTCATTAGTGCTTTCCAAATAATTATTATAATAATTAACAATCAAAACACGTATGCAATTAATGACAGCCGATTCCGATTTTAATTTTCAATCACTTTGGCAAACAGCAAAATTTTTTGGCTTAAAGGCGCTGCGCATGCGCCAAAGCCAAATTAATATGAAAGGGGAAAACAGTTGTTAGTTATTAAAATATATGTATAAAATATATATGATGTATATATTTAATAGTGTAAATTTTATTACAGTTCAAGGCAAAGTACAATTGTAATAAAAAATATATATAAATATATAAGAAAAATGGTGTTGTAGAACCTCTAAAAAGGATTTTCCTAATTAACTTGGAAGTGATTTCTTTATTCCAGTAAGTAAATGAACCCATCACCAACACGCCATCTGTCGCCCAACTCTGGCAATCAATAAAAGTGAGAAAAAATGGTTGAATATATTGCGTGGCATTTAATTTACTTTCGACATGTCAGCGCAGGGCAACTCTATTTTCAGTTCAATGTGCCATTTTCCGCGAAGAGGGTGTTGTGGTGGCGATGGATCGTAAACCCAAATTGCATTCCGAATGCCTCATAATTGTGGCCGCGTGGTTCTTGGTTATTCGGGCCCACCGACCACTTAACGAAAGCGAAACGAAATTAAATGCAGTTGACCCAAAAATAGCACAAATGCTCGCGCCTGCCACAGAAAAAAAATAATAAAACAACACTGTATTATTAAGAAAAAGCAAAAAACAAATTATGGTAAAAAGCGTAATACAGGGCGGTCCTTTGGTTTATAGGATATATGCAATTAATTCAAGTTAACAAGCTTACCTTATAGAAATATAAAATACATAGATCTAGTGATTTCATATATTTCTATTATCCTTGTGTATTGTTTGAGCTGCATTCTATGGTGGGGAATTCTTTGCTTACTTGGGTTCTAAATAAAATACTAGGATACAATTACTTTTAAGGATTTAAATATGGGTAAAATGTATTAAATAATTGTCTATCAAATATAACAGCAGGAAGATTAGTTAATTGTCTTTGTATTTTAGAAAGCATCTAAAAAATCCCCTATAGTTCCTATAGTTATTGTTGGTACATTGCAAGAAAAGCCAAAATAATATAAAATAAGCTCTCTCATTTTCTATTGCTTGTACATTGCAAGCACTGCATGGCAGAGAGAGAGCCAGAGAAAGTGACAGAGAAAATTAGATATCTTTAAAAAAACTCACTGAGAGAGTATATAGAAAAGGAAAATCTAACAAATCCTTGTTTCAAACTAATATCTCAAAACTGCTTTTCATTAAGGAGCACCCTGTCTTAAAAGGGGGCTTTCCCTTTAAAGCAAGTGTCGTCATCAGCTGTGAGCGTGCAGTGGGCGTTCCAAGGGGCGGCTGGGTATGTGTGTTCCTGTGTGTGTGTGTGTGTGCAAGTGGCGACGTCAACAATTACACATGTGGCCCAGGTCAGGACTGGGGTGCAAAAGGTGCTGCTCCCGACCGTTGTTACTTCGCCATTCAGCTATTAACCCAATTCCCGCGTGCAATGACTTCTGGGGGAAAACCAAGTCCGAGTCCGAGTGCCACCCACAAAGACCACATGGCACAAAACGCTCAATTATGCTTATGGCCGACACAACACAAGGAAATCCATTCCCTCGATTGAGGAAAATGCATTTCCCTACGCCGACGTTGCTCTGCCTCTGTCGACGTTGACGTTGACGCTGGCTTGACCCATTTTTAGACGGGACACGCCCACCCAAGGGGGGTGGGGAGGCAGGGCGCAGCACGTAAACCACATCCTGACGTCAAAGTTGTCGATGGCAAAGAGTTGACGTGGTTGAATTTGATTTATGTTTCTTTCCAAGAGTTATGAATCTGGAAAATGTATTAAATTTGTATAAATTTATTTGTATTTTTAGCACATTATTATCATCCGGTGCGGGAGCAACAGGTGCAGGAACAGGAACTGGTGGAGCATCGGCAACGGATGCCTACAAAATGGTGCACCAAAGCAATGAGGATGCCATGAACAAGATTCCACTCAAGTCGGCCGGTGGCCTGGACTCGGATGAGGAGAAAAATGGGGGCGAACTCATGCAGGACACTGCCGCCGCCGAGGAGGCGCGACGCGAGCAGATGTAAGCATAAAAATGGCATTAGCTGTGACAACGCAAGGACATGGGTCCTTGACTGGGAAAGAGGGGAGATCTGTTGCCATAAAAATCGAGTTCAATTAAATCCCTTAAAGCAGACAAGGCAGCTGCAAAAGAATAGTATTGAAAGCTAAGAGATAGTAGAGAATATAGAATTATCAATAATGCTATACAAAAAGTACCATTTTCATAAATCAACTTAGCCTTGAAGTATTTGTTACCAATTGTTTGCTAAATAACTTCAAATCTCCATTAAAATTTGTCCAGAATAATAGTAAAAGTTATCAAAAAATAATCACCATGTATTTCAATATTTATTCTTATCTTTATGTTATACTTTTCAATTCTCAAAGGCGTGCCAATGTCCTGGCCTGGATGAAGAAACTAACCATCGTGCTGATCTGTTTCATTGGAATCGCCCTCATCAGTTACGTGATTATCAGCCTGTGTTTCAGTGGTGAGTTTTGAAAAGTTTTTTTTTTTTTGGAGAAAGGCAACCACATCCAGCTAACAATTCACTTACCCATGGCAAACTAAAACCAAAACAGAACTCCTCGTAGAACGATAGGCATTAAGTTTGTACCAAATGTATCATATCAATAGTAATATAAGTAATTGAAGAGTGACCCAAGAGACAGACTTTGGACTGAACATTCTATACTTTATCCCACAAAATGCTTATTTTTGCATGCTATCGTACCATCTTAACCAAGCACCTGGCATTTAATCTAGTTCAAAAATAATTTCTTCTATTGTGGCACCAAAAAGTATTCACATGAACAAAACCCAAACCAAAAACTTTACACCCTAACTCACTAAATACCAACAACAACAACAACAACGAAGACTGGCCAAAATCGACACCAAATAGAAACAGCACAACAACAACAACAACGACGACAACTACAACAACAACAGAGGGAACCTCAGTAGCAGCAGCAATTGCAACAACATCAGCAACAGTCGCCGCAGCAGCAGTAGCAACTTTTGATACATCAACAACAACAACAATTGCACCAACAACAATTAGCACCAGCACAGCAACAACAATAGCAACAACAACAACAACTACACCACCAACACCACCACCACCAATAGCAACAACAACAACAACAACAAGCAGAACAAATAGCAATCCCAGTTCCACACTTAAACCATTTACTTCAACAGATGAGCAGCAGCAGCAACAGGATCATGAACAGGATCACAAAGGAAATATTGGTAACCTAAATCTACCCACTATGGCCAGTACCCCGGCAGATGATGCATTACCCAGTGTGGCAGCCTCAACAGCAGCAATTACAGATCAAATACGTATCGATACAAGTGATGAGTTTGAGTCCATATTGGGAGTCTATCAGCATGGAGCAGTCAGTTCCGATAATCTAGAATGCAGCAAGATTGGCAGGTGAGTGATGGGGAATTATTATTACTGGATTATAGGGATTATTCTAGGGTTATAGTATAATATTCTATGGATATCGTATAGTATTCTGATACAATTTTAAAGTTAATGCATGAACAAGAGCGATTAAACGCAGACAGAAACTTAGGGGAATCGGATTTAAAAGCAGGAACTTCTCACGCTCAATTTAATTATCATAATCAACTAAAAATATTAATTCGATCTTACATTTCTTGATACCTCTTCCAGTGACATCCTCCAGAAGAACGGCAGCGCTGTGGATGCTGCAATAGCGGCTCTCCTCTGCAACGGATTGCTGACCATTCAGAGCATGGGCATTGGTGGCGGTCATCTGATGAATGTTTACATTCGCAGCGAACGTCATGCCACGGCCATTGATGCCAGGGAATTGGCTCCTTATGGCGCCGAAATGGATATGTTTGATCAGCAGCCAGAGAAGTCCTACAAGGGACCACTAAGCATTGCCGTGCCTGGAGAGGTGATGGGTTACCATGAGGCGCATCAGAAATTTGGTCAGTTACCTTGGTCAGATTTGGTGGCACCTTCGCTAGAGCTGTGCGAGAAGGGATATCATGTGTCCCAGCATATGGAACGGGCCCTGAATGCTGCATTGCCTCATATCAAGGAGCATGAGCAGTACCAGTAAGTAATCCAAATTAACTGGGAGACAAGATATTTCATTACACTTTTTTCTAGGATTTATTTGAACAAGGAGACGGGCAAACCTCACAACGCTGGCACTGTGGTAAAGCCTCCAAAGAATCTCTGTGAGACATACAAGCTTCTGGGTGAGAATGGACCCATGGATCTGTATAATGGCACTTTGGCAAAGCTCTTGGTTGATGATCTCCGCGATGTGGGCAGCATTATCACAGCCGATGATCTTTTATATTACGAGGCCGATGTGATTAATTCCATTACAATGGACCTGGGAGAGGATACACTGTATGTCCTGCCCCCGGTTAGTTCCGGCTCCCTGGTGGCCCATACCCTGAGCATCCTGCATGGCTATAACTTTACCAAAGCGGATCTGGCCACTGAGGAGTTGCGTGCTCGTACCATTCATCGTATCACAGAGGCTCTGAAGTTTGCCTTTGCCCAGCTGGCGGAGCTGGGAGATATGCATTTCATTGATGCCCGGGAGTTGGTCAGTCGTCTGAATAGTCCAGAGTTTGGAGATCAAAACAGAGCCAAGATCAATGACTCACATGTGCTGCAGGATCCGCAGGCCTATGGTGCTCAATATGGCACCAATGAGGATGCAGATGGTACTTCCCATTTGGTTGTACTGGCACCCAATGGTGATGCCGTCTCGGTGACCAGCTCCATTAATTCCTAGTATGTATTGGTATTTTATATTATAATATATTTTGTTAATTATCCTATTTATATAGCTTTGGTTCCGGCTTGATTGGAGCCCGCACGGGCATTGTCTTGAACAATGGCATGAATGACTTTGCCGTGGAGAACAACTTCTTTGGTTTGCCCAAATCGGCGGCAAATACCATTGAGCCGCACAAGCGTCCCATGTCCTCGCAATCCCCAATCCTTTTGGCGGATAAAAATGGTGATATGCGTCTGGTTATTGGAGCAGCTGGAGGTAGCAAGATCATTCCAGCCGTGGTTGAAGTGGCCGCCAAGGTGCTTTGGTTTGATGACGATCTGCGGGCGGCAGTGAGTGCGCCACGGTTCTATCATCAACTGCTGCCCGATGTCCTGGAGTATGAGGAAGATGGCTTTCCGGATTCATTGTTGCAGCTTCTCACCCAAAAGGGTCACCGGCTGAAGGCCGTGAGCAAGACCAAGGCTTCTGTGGTTTCAGCCATTTCAAGAAATGCCACCGCCATTTATGCAAATGCTGATTATCGTAAACGCGGCGGAGTGGCGGGCTTTTAGGATGTTACTAAAGGATGAGCTTCTCATTCACACACACTCACACACATCCACACACACACACACACACCAGCACACACACTCACACACACACCCCTCATTGAGATTAGAGAGTGGTGGAGTCGATCAATTCGCATCACGCAAAAGTATTTAAGCTAGCTATGTCTTTTTTACATACTATGTATATCGTACGTTATATAAATTTATATGCTACTACCTAACTACTACCGTATACAATAAAAAACAAAACAAACAAGATCCAGAAATGCAAGAGCTTAATTAAGAAATTATTTTTATATTTTGATTTGTGCATGAATGTTTCCAGGTTTCATTAAATATCATGAAGTTCACATTACCATATCTTGGCAGGTCTTTTAGAGCCTAAAAGTAGGCAATAGTTTACTAAAGTTAAGAGACCTCACCCTCAAATAAATATATTTAAAATTGAATGAAACACTGAAGAAAACATGAGCACAGGTAATTAATAACTATTCAAATTACTTCTAAATACAATATAACAATAAAAGGATTAATTTTTGAGCAAAGATTACATTAAAACCTTATCCGTTTAAAACATTTTCGTTTTCGAGATTTGATAAACTCTTTTTTCGTTAATATTACATTTAATATTTTCAAAAGTTCAAATATAAATTGAAGTCTTTAAATTCATACATACAATATGCTGATAGAAAAGCTTTCCAAATTTAAGTGAATAATGTTTTGACTTAGTGTTTGATTGATTTCGAACTCGGCTTTCTGATTCAATTTTAAATTGCATACAAGATACTATAACTAAGCAAGAAAGCAAGTAATTAAGTAGTTATAGTATCTTGTATCTTTTATAAAGCATACTTAATTTGTAACCAAAGAAAATCCCATTTAAAAATGATTGAAATCAAGGTTCTAGCACTAAATCTCGATTTTTTGGCTCTTTGTTTTGAGAATTATGAAGTCACAGTTGTAACTTCTTTTAGATCATTTAGAAAGAGACAGACCAAGGGTCTTTCTCCCTTACACTCTTATGTTTCATAGAGTTCTATATCTATTTTTTAGACCTTTCATATTTAAAACTTTAGACATTTTCCCAGTATACCTGCCTTACGAACTTATAATATAGGTAAATCTTAATACCAGAAATCAGCCTCAAAAAGCATTTAAATTTGATTTACCCAATTATTGGTCATGGAAAATAATATAAAAATAATTTAATAATGAAACACAATTATAAAACATCCTTTTTGATTTCAATAAACTTAATAGGAATTTTTTATTTCTGGAAAGCAACATTTAACGTTTTTTTTGTTGTGTTCTTTTAACATTTGTTGGCAATCGACATCGCTATCGTTATGGCTATTAAAATTATTAAATTTGTAATATACAGATATACATATATATTTATATATAATTATATACAGAGCTAAGACTAAGTGCTACCCTGTAGTGGTTGTAGTTTGATTCCCGCCCTTCCTTGGCATTCAGTAAGTAGATATATATCTTTAAATGATAAATGTATACAGGCGCATCATGTGGTTTAAGTTCTTTGATCCATTCTTTTTTTTTTCGTTTTGTCTATTTACAACTTGGGACTAGATGCTGTGTGAAGAACTATATGTTTTATATATATATTTTCGTATGTACAATGCGAGAGAAAAGTTTTGCTGATCAGTGAATTGATCAAAAGGATGGTGGGTCCTACGAGTTAAAAATACTAGCTGCTTAAAAACAAAGTAAATACAATGCCAAAATGCTTAGCTAAGCTGGCAGTTGGCCAAACCTAACAAAATATTTATAAATGTGTATCCAATATTTAGCAGTAAATCTGTTGAAATTTAAATAAACTAGGCTTAGTTTTGAGACACACAATTGGTTAATTTTGGAGGAATATTACAATAAAGATTATAAATTCCATCTGTGTCACCTTCGACTCTGCCTAGAAATCATAATTTGAAACATTTTCAACACATAAGTTAAGTAATATAGGTTTCGCCACTCGAAAAGTTTGCTGATTAACAACATATCGAAATCGTATAGTTAAGCATTTGTTTTCTGTTTTTTGTTTCATGTTTTTCGGTGTGTGATTTTGTTTTTGTTTTTGTTTTAAGTGGGTCAAGTACAGAAATCCGTTGCGCTGCCAGTTTTGTTTTGTTTTTTGGGGAAAAATCTCTTAATTCTCTCTCCTCCATCACCACCTGCTTAACTTCCGCTTAAGCTTACACTTCCGCTTCCGCTTTTACTTATGCCTTCTCTTCCGTTTCCGTTTCTCTACCCTTCCCCACCTAGATGTGCAAAGTAGTTCCAGGCATGGAAACGGAGCTACAGGATCCTGCCTTGGTCGATGTCTGCGGTGGCTCCAGATCCTTGCACTGATCCAAATCAATGACCAGGCAATCGTAAGCCGGCGGCGGCAGCTCAAACTTGACCACGCTGTCGTAGCTGGGCGGCAGGGAGTCCACAATGCGCAGCACATCGTTCTGGGAGTTGATCTGCAGGGATAATAACCAAACATATATCTATATATCTAAATGGGAATCTTTAGTTTATAGTAGAGACTCACATGTGGCATGGCTCCATTGGTGGCACGATTGCCCGCCTCATCGATGGGTCCCGCCCAGATGCAGACGCCCATCCGATGCGTCACATAGCCGCAAATGATCACACTGATCAGCAGCATCCCAATGCCCAAGGCAAAGACCAGCCACCGGGATTCGGCACTATTATCCCGCAGATTCTTCTCCAGCTGCAGGGCACAGAGTATGAGCACGGGCACAGCCACCATGGCCACCAGAAGGTCCACAATAGGACGCTGGGTACTGGGTCCAGCATTCAAGGGACGACGTCCAGAACCCACAGCCGATCCAGAGCCCATTGCTGATCCGCCATGGAGGCCCAGCGGATGGGAGCCGAAATTCTGGCTGCTGCTATTCGGGGTCAAGGTGGAGCGAGCCACCACCGTGTTGTGGTTCTGTAGCACCATACTGGAAAAAAAGTGGAGCAATTCTGGGTTAAAGAGTGTATAATTGCATATAATTTAAACTATTATTACAACATTAAAAATATTATTTCAAGAACGTTGGAGAACTTTGTAAATATATAAAAAATGCATAGAATGTATATCAGTTGGTAATTAATATAATAATTACAACTATTATATTACAACCATTACAATCAAATAACAACAACGTTGGAGAACTTTTTTAATAATATATATATATCTCAACAAGCAATATACATTTATTTACATTTGTTTACAAAATAATATCTAAAGTTGCTTGTAAAGAATATATATAAAAAATAATGATAAATTTATTATCACAACGTTGGAAACATGGCGAATGTGTATAATACTTTTTAGAAACAAAGCAGCTGCCAAAGAATGTATGTTTATACATATCAGAGAATGTCTTTTTTATTATTTTGGATCCTTTAGAATCCATCAATTTATTCTATATTCACTTTACTACACATATTGAAATTGTTTTAACAATAATTTGAGGTTTTGTTTCTACATTCTCAAATATTTAGCAACGAAAATATATAATAAAAAAACTTAAAACGGAATGTGTAATATATTTATTTATATTATTTTTATTTTTTGCTTATCTCTGTCTGAAGGTAATTTACTCCGTCTAGAGACTCATGTTTATTCTATGGGAATATCGTATAATTGGTGGCTCTCAATTGTTAATCCTCAATGAATAGGCATGGGACTTGAAGCGATTCCTATCCAACCAGACAATGGATCATTATCTCTGCATTAGATTAGCTTCGAACCAATTTCGTAATTTAGATATATAAGAAACCCGAAACTAAATACAAGGTTACTAGGGTTATATTCAAATGATATTTATAGATTTAAAGCATTTATATTAGTTGTAAAATATGGTATGAGATTTCTTTACTTTAAGTAGTTTATAGAACTTAATAGATAATTTGTTATCTTTATGTAAAGTGGTCACACTCAATTAATATTAAATTACAAGAGTATAAAAAACACTACGCTTTTGTCACAAATTTAATTAGTATTTAATCTCTTCAGTTAGTTAGCAATCAAATACTTTAACAGTGATCTAAAGAGACTCCATTAAACCAATATTTAGCTTTTAGCATCACTTATATTTTAAAGCTTCGATTAAATGGTTTATATTCCATATCTATTAACAATAAGCTAATGGAGATACTAAAAACTAAGCCGTTAAACCTTTCTGATGACTTAAGTGTAATAATGTGTGAGTATACATTCTTGCTTAATTGATGTTTTTTTCGATAGGTTTGGCAAATATTTTCCTGTGAATCGTATTAGATTTATAATATATATAAACATTGATAACAAACGCTGCCCGTTCCAATAAAATCAACTGCGTCACAGAGCGAAGCGAAGGAAATCAAATATTTGCTAAGCATTTAACGTTTGGAGTCCAATTAACATTGGTTAGCATTCAATTGCCCGGCCAGATGTATCATATTCCGATATCTATATGTATGTATTATATATATATATAATGCATATATGGTGTGTATGTTGTGGTCTTTTATAGTGAGTACAACTCGTACCTGGGATCAAAGGCATTGCTCAGCAACAAGTCGTAAACGGCGCGCATTTCGATAAATTTTTGCTTTTCTCCTGTACAATAGATCTATATTTTTGATTTTATTGATATCAATTGCTTAATTTATTACGAGGTTTTTCTATCTCTTTCTATTGTTAATTGTTAGCACATTTATTTAAGTGATTTTAGAGTCTAGAAAAAACGATATTAATAATTAAAATATTAACACAAATAGAATTCACATTTTTAAACAAACACTTTTTATCATTTTTAATATTTCCTCTATAATTTAAAATGTTTAAACTTTATTATTTCCTCTGTAATTCTATTAAAACAACAAATTATTATGTAATTATTATATAAACAAATAAAAAACAATAAACGTTTAACATTTTTTCCATCTATCTTGGAATTTCTCGACTGGAATTAATTTGTTTCTATTTATATTATTTTTCTGCATTAAATCTTTGAGACTACACTTAATTTATTTATACTTTATATTTTTTTAGTATTTGTTTTTCTCTTGTTTTGTTTTATTTGTTTTTTTTTCGCCTTTTGGTTTGTAATTTATGTGCATTTTATTTATAGTTTTGTTGTTATTCAGACGTTTTAGCGAGGAGCGGCTTTATGATTCTGTTTTCCCCCGGTTCATAAAAATCTTACACCAGAAAACAGAGATAAGAGCGAGATCACATGGCGTATACTCAATCTTGCCAAACTATAATAACTCTTATCAATTTGCCAGAACGAAAGGAAAGAAATGTTCACTTGGGCGATAAGGACAATGCACGTGATTTGCAATTCATATAAGGCAATTATTAATCACAGAAATTACAACAAAATAACAAAAACCAAAATCCACAAAACACCATGAGAATTAAAGTCTGTTCGATTGGGCTTAAACCAATTCGTGGCGATCTGAGCCGGTGAAATGTTGAAGTCCGACTGGAAAAGCCTCGAATAAAAAACTGGCCCTATAGCATTATCAACACAATGCTCGCAGCGGTGATCGGGAAATGCGTTTTGAAATGGACTTTGCACATTCCCTGGGTGGGGAAAATATATGGAAAAACCCATGGTTTTCTACTTAGTATGGATGCATTTAAAAATAAATGTTTATTTCTTATTTCTTTGTATATTAATTTAATAATTTCAACCTCTATTTAAGTGAAGCCTTATGTGTTTTTCTTTTTATTTGATATAGTAACTTATTAAATATTTAATGGTATGGAACTTTAAGTTTTTAATAGCAAACTTAAAGACAAATTTTAATTGTGTATGATATATCAGTCCGATTTTCATAAAATGTTACACTAAATTCTAGTTTAAACATATTAGCTATATACCAAATTTGATGAAAATCTGTTAAAAACTGAAAAAGTTATAATTTGTTTTCTTAAAATATTCCGATTGTTCCTATGGCAGCTATATATATGTATACATATAGTCCACCGATTCGCCACGCCCCGACTTATATACTAATAATATTATTTAGAAGACTAACTCCATAGTTTCATTCAAATAGCTTAAATTTGTATCGAAACAAAACTCTCACACACTTGGCCTATGATTCCCAACTAGTTCTAACATCCCCGGAACGAAGTGACTGCTGCCAGCCAAGGCTCAGATATGTGTTGTGTTATAAAAGTTGCAAGTCATTGTTTATCAGTGTTTAAAGTTAGTAACTGGTCATACATACATACTTACTGTTAAGAGTTACTTAATGTTCAAAGAGACTTACGATACTTCCTTTTCTAAGGTAATTACTGATCATTGATATAATCATATTTATATTTCATTTTTTTGCACAATTGATTTAGAGTTAAATGTATTTTATGTATATATTATATTATATTAATTTATTTACTCTTATACACCTATAGCTTAAAATCTACCTATTTTTTACAACCTAAAACACATGAATACCCTTTTGCTTTATAATACCCGATTTAGGGTATTATAATTTTAGTCAGAAGCTAGAAACGCAGTGAAGGAGTTATATCCGGCCCTATAAAACATATACATATATTCTTGATTATCATAAACAGGCGGATCTTTCTAGCAATTTCTGAAAAAAAAACAAATTTTTTCTAAAATTTTCCATTTTATGAAAAAAAAAAATAAGGGGTTACATTGTTAAAATTTCAAAAAATTGACAAAAAATTTAATTTTTTTTTTAATTTAATACTAAGTATGCAGATTTATTAGCCACATAAAAAATTAATGCACTTTTGGCTTAGCTATGGATTTTGTAAACTTTGAAATCCAATACAAAAAATTACGTATACGTAATATCGCTCCAACCAACATAGAATATCACGTATACGTACCATTGTCCTCCATACTCAGGATAATCTTTCCTTTAAAGAGCTTTAAATAATCTTACTTTCAGTGATTTATTATGAAACTGGAATATAGTTTTATTTATACCGTTTAAGGAGTTTATACTTTTAGAAATTAATTTATCATTTTCTTGTTATTAATATATTTATCTTGTGCGAAGCTTTACGTTTTTTATGAAGTTTCCTAATCAGAAACCTGCAATTATTGGAACTTAACTGACAATTAAATTAAAGTTATTTCTTTAATAAAGCCTAGTAATACAACAGCATTTGTTTAGTTTAGTTTGTTAAAATGTTAAGCTTATAAAACTATGCATAAAACATTGTTCATTTAAAAGGTTAATATTTAGTATATTAAACGTAAGCTTTGTATAAGCTATAAACTCTCTTTGAAAAGCAATAAAAGAGGTAGCACTCGCCAGTATTAAATTGCATTTCATTTCGAATGAAAGCTAAGCAAAAAATTAATCCAAAACACAGAGAGAATATATAATATTATTATTATATTGTCATTATTATAAGCCCTTGTCATTTAGCTTTATCTTTGGGTAGATACAGAGATTGCCCTGTGGCTTCTCAAATATTTTGAACTTTATCTGAAAGTTGTTTGAACTCTGGCAGCAGAGATACCAGATATAAGATACCAAATATCATCCGATCTTGATTAACGCTGAAATGCTAAAGATATCTTCTGCAACGGAGAATCCATTAAAATCTCGCCCTTTCAGACAATGAAAATTTGCAATTATAATTTCGGAAACCCGTCGAGTGTCTCATGAATGAAAGCACCCAGACCTCGCCCGATGCAATAGATACATTTAATTACATCTTCACTCATCTGCTCATATGACAAATGCAAATATGATAATGTTTATATATACTATATACATATACACACTGATAAGACAACGCCCCGACTTTCCTCAAATACAACAGCGGTTGTAAAATGCTTGTCATTGATCGTTCCCCGAGTTCTTTTGTTCTTAACTGACTTTGTTTTTGACTGATTTAGTGCCTTTCTTAATTTATAATGTCTGGGGGTATTTTTTTTTGTGCTTTCTCCGTTATAAGTTGACTTCGATTTGCGTAAAGAAATCGGAGCGCATTAACCTGTGCCCTGCTCTTGAATTTCCCTCGAAATATAAATAAGTTTCCCTCAAATCCTATAAACATGAGGCATTTTTCCACTAATTCAAGGCATTCCAATTTGTCTGTGTTTACAGACAAAGTAAGCAAACTTAATATATGGTATGTTATAGTTTATAAACAAGTTCATATTGCCACAAGAACTTTTGCAAAATAGTCGCTAAGCGGGAATTACTTAATTAGAAAAGTTAAAGAAGTATATTCCAAGAAGTTTTTGGGTTTTGCTAGCTTTAAATTACTTGAAATTTAAATGTTTATTTTTTGGTTAATAGTACTTTAATTAAAAGTATTAAAACATTAAATGAATCATTTTGTTCTCAAGCTACTGAAGTGTATAAACTTTAATGGAGAAACGGAGCTGGCGAAGATAAAAATGTAATCTTTTTTCACTTCCGTAAAGCAGTTTATCGACTTCCGGTTTGCCTAGTGCCACGTGACGTATGTATATATTTATTTTTTAATATTTATCAGTTCGAAAATAACAACGAGTCATTGACCAGATGTCTGATATTATTTATCTTCCTAGAACAAGGAGATATATATACAGATATATCTCTTTATCGGTTGCATGTGCAGCCCCACCTGACACGGCAGCTAACTAGCAAAAAAATAATAATAACACAATAAAGACACAATTGAAAAAAGATAATAATAAATAAATGTTTGACTAAAATACAAATTAGCTGTCAGTGATGACGACGCCCACAAGAAAAACACACGGCATTAAGGGAAAACCAAAAGGGGAAAAGCCGGCCAAGAAAAGCTGGCAAAAAGCTAGCAACTATATTAAAATTTATATATAGAGATGTACGTATGTTTGTATATTATTTTATTAATGTGGCAATTACCCGGACTGAGCTTGACTTTGAAAACCGAGAAGAGAAAGACAGAAAGAGAGAGACTTTGATCGAGAATCGAGCGTCAGCAGTGGCCCAGAAACCCAATTGGAGTACAAATCAGCCAAGTGCAGAGATCACACACCAGAACACACTAAATATATATGGAATATATATATATACTCAATTTATGCACAGCATATCGAATTTCTGATGACTTGCCGTAAGTTCTTTTCGAGAGAGATGCATTTCTTGATTGTTATCGCTTAATATGCATTTTGTTCTTTTGTTTTTCTTTTTTTCCACCTCGGAGACCTTTACATTTTTCTCTTACTTTTAAAGGGGAAATATATATATATAATATATATAGAAAACCCTACACTGGGAAAAGGTGTGCAAGATTTACACAGAATTACCCCTGAAACCGCAACAACAAAGTAATAAATGTATATGATTCGTATGAATTTCCCTATTTGTTTTTTTTTGGGCAATGCCGTCATTCCGTATACTATAGCTATGAATCAGACCAAGATATATACGTATACATATAAAGATATCCAGATATCTGTAGAAACCAGATTGCAGTTGGCCTGGAATCTTCTTAGCCATATCAGATAAGGCCAAAGACTGCAGCTAAATCCCCTTAAAAAAAGATATAGATATATACTCTATATAGCTGAAAGCCCTGTAAGTAATACATATATGGCAGGGAATTTTTGCATTGTGTTGTTTATATAGCTCAGATTGCACATTAGTTGCCAAGGCAGGAATGCCTTTAATTGTTTAGAATTTAGCTGGATTAAATTTCCAGTAAATTCACCTGTAAGCTTTTGAGGTTAATTGCTAGATACTATGACACAAACAATAAAGTAACATTTTGTTATCTATACAATCTGTAAACTTGTTACAAATTTAAACTAGGAAGAAAACTCTGCAAGTATTCGTTGAGTTCCCTTTTTCGTATTCCAGAACAATGCACAATTTAATTAAAATTCCTTTGGCAATGCTCCCGACCTCCCTCACCATTAACCAATGTGTGGCAATCTATATAGCACAACAATTTCCTTAATTGCCGCGACAAAAAAAAGCATAAAAAATAAGAAAAAAGAGAAAAAAATCATAAAAACTAAAGCAAAAGCGGGGTGGTGGGAGCTTGTTGAAAACCGACGCCCACAAAATTCATGGGAAGTGTCTGGCCCACTTTGTCAGGGAGTCCAAGTCGGATATATCAGACAGCCAGGGTCAAAATAATAGGAATGTGTTTCAACTGGCCATATCTGGCCTGCCTTAGATAAAACCAAAACAAATTGAAGCAAAACTGGAAATTAATCAACTAATTTAAAGAAGAGACTGTTAGAAATGAAATGCCTATTTATAAGACTTTAATTATATTTGAAAAATATTATTTGAACATACATATATGGTGCCTAAATAATTGAAAAGCTTGCTTGAGAGTCGTGATAAAGAGAACTTGTAAGGAAATATCAAGGTTCTATTCAGATTGTTGGGCTATCCCATTCGGTTTTCAGGATAGACCTTTATTAGAGCACTGCTTCTTAAAGTCCTTTTGATGCCTCTTCAAATAGCTTGGCTCAGGGTCCTTATCGTAGGGTTTAAAGTTAAATGGAACAAGATTAGGCCCTATAATGTTTGTATTTGTTGTGTTTATAAATAAATAGTAATAATAAAACATACATATTTCTAAGTTTCCTTTTCATAACCTTGTTGTTAAACTTCTCTTTGCACTTGGAATCAAACAAATCTTAAGCAAGAAAACCCAAAAAATAAACATTAACTCATCCATTTGTCAGTTCTTTGCTGTGTCAATTTAAATGTTGTTTTATTTAATTATTTGGCAGCAAGCTAAACAATTAATTTGCAGCCACTTTTAGTTTAACCACCATTGTAGAAATGTACATTTATAAGATTTAAGTGCTTTACATGAACCAGAAACATTGACGATTCCACCACATGGAAGAAGGCATTATTAATGTATTAATTGATCAGATCCGAGTGCCGCCTTAATTGTGAATGAGAGAGGGGAGTGGAATTTATTTGTTGATTGACTGATTCGACTTATGACTACAGTGAAAGCTTCCCCAGAATATACATATATCTTGTTGGTCTTCTTCGCCTTTATTGTATTGTATTCCCTGCCTTTGGTCACGTAGAAAAATCTTTAATAATTTCTTTTGGAAACCATTGTGAAACTGTGTCTTCTATATTCTATTTGCTTTACTCTATAATTCCATACAGCAGGTGACAAAGCTCTTAAAAGTATAGAGAAACTTTACAATGCAGAAAAACATATTCAACAGACTTTGCCATAAGGTTTTATAATATATGTCCGAATTATATTGACTATTTACTTTAAAAATTTCTTGAAAAATTATATAAAAATTAAAGAAATATTAAATATATAGTATATAGAAATTAAGAAATAAAAAAAGGGTATATAAACTTTGCTAGTCCAAAATGTTTATGATATTTGTTTCTCGCTCTGCTGGACTGCGCAAGAAGTGTGTATGTACAAAGAGACTATATATAGAAACTAATGTTGAAAAAAATTGAATTTATTTTCTTTTTTTTGCCTGCTATCAATAAATTTTATTTATCTGTTGATGCTCTTGTTGATTCTTCTCATTTTTGAGCTTTTTGTTTTATATAAAACAAAAGCATTTCATTTAATTGTTTCGTTTCGTTGGAAGTGTGGAATTGCTTTTTGTGTATGTTTTTTCCGTATTCATCAGGCTTTTTTTTGTAGAGATTGTAAGGGATTTTTCCAAGGTTCCAAATGAAAAAACACCTGTTTTTCAAGAAATTTCCCATAGATTGTTACATTAATTTGGCCAAATTTCAAACAGAAAAAAAATTTGGAGAAGTCTTCCAATCCCACAGTTATTTTAAGGAAGGGTGATTCATGAATTTTTCTTAATGAATTTTATCACCGTTCTTAAGACTAATTTTGGGTGGTAGCATTACCTTAATTATTGTATTTTTATAATTATAGCAAATGTACTGTACAAAACAATTATTTTTATGGTTGTCTGTATTATTATTTATATGACTGTAACCGTAGAAATATTTAAACTGCATAATGCTTAAAGTCATTTTTACTTTAGGATAGACCATTTAAAGTGTGGAATTGATTAAATACACCAATCGAATTTGTTCTGTACATGGCCCATATACATACACAGAAATAATTTTAGCACAATTTTGGGAACAAATAAATACATTCCAGCATTTTTTGCTCAATTATTTTAATAAAACAATGTTGTGCAGTAGAAATACCCTCAAAAAAATCATTAAAACTACTGAATTTCAGTTTTAAAAACATCCTCAAATTGATTTTCTATAATCTATCTTTATTTTATTTCTCTCTGTGTATATATTCAAGTATGTAGAGGAAAAAACACGTACATATGCACATGAGTTTTCCTCTGTCCCAGTCGCTCCTTTAGCTTTTCCCCATTTGATGCATTTTATTTATAGCCCTAGAAATATTTTAGGAGGGTGGTGAGGGGCCTTTTTTAAAAGGGTTGGGGGGGGGGCTATTGGCGGTAAACATATGTTTTTTGGCATCACCTACACTGAGGAAAAAACACAAATGACAGGCTGGAATTAAGTTTTCGAATTTTAATTTTATGATTTGATGATAAGACCGATTTTGAGAGCTCTCTTAATATTAAATTCTAGTTTAAATATGTAATATTTGTTGTGATCTAAATAATTCGTTAAAGGTAAATTCAGTTTTGGTAACTCTAAGTTTTAAAATATTTTTTCTTAAAGCTATCTAATTTTTTGAAAATTTGATAATTTGATTTCTTTGGTGTACTCACTCGAAAATGTTTTTATTTTCTTTTTATTTTGGCCGCTTCTGATCTTTGTCTCGTTCTCTTGTCTCACGCACTGCTTCTTCTCTGTTTTTCTCACTTGTTTCAGGTTTGCGATTCTCCTCCGCCTCTAATGCTGCCACTTTATTCACATTTGGGGAGCAACCAAAGAAAACCAAACAAAATAAAAACAAAAAGGCACAGAAAATGTATCTTTTTTCTGAATTGAAAATTATGCACGCGCTTGTTTCAATTGTTTTTTGTGGGATTTTTTTTTATTTATATTTTTAAAATTTTAAATGTGATTTCTTCTTCGTTTTCGGTATGTTTTTGTTATTATTATTATTATTTTATTATTGTTTTGTTATTTGGATTATTTGCGGCTGCTGCTAATGAGATCGTTGGCACAAATAATTGCTGCAAGTTGAATGGACTTCCTTTGCGAGGGGATTCTTCTGGGAATTCTTCTGGGAATTCTTTTGCTTTTTGGGAAAGAGTATACCCCTTCTTCCCGCCGTCTTATCGGTGCTGACTTTGGGTGTATTCGTAGTGCTCCTTCCTGAAATTGGGTTCCTCGCCACGCTCAGAGAAAACCCAACGCCTGTGAACCATTACAACAGATCTTCGAGGCGATCCTGATTCTTCCCTCCTTTGGCAGGATTCGGTTCAGCTTGAAGCAGTCTCTTTCTCCTCTCCAATCCTTCTTTCCGTCCACGATTCGTTCTATCTCGTTCACTGAACTTTGGAACACGACGAAGATATTGCGACGACCGGTCTAAGAGCAGGAACTGCCTTCATATACACATCTCGCGTATATAGAATTCAATTTTTGTTATTTTCTGTCTTATGTCTTGTGTGTTTTTCCGCCTTCGGTGCCTCTGTCTGTCGGTCTGTGCCTCGTATTGCCGTTTCGTACTTTCTGCGGACTGAATATCGAACCAGTGACGATGAGTGCTGAGAAACAACTGTGAGATCGCAGATTGCGGATCGTGGATTGTGGATTGTGGATTGCCGCTGCCAGCTGCCAGAGCTTCTGCTTCATCTCTCTCACTCTCTCTGCCTTGGGGTCTCCCCCCCTCTTTGTGGGGAAGATGCTCTGTGAGTTGTACGCTCTCCATTCTGCGGTCTCCATTCTCCGGTCTCTCCGGTACTCTCCACACTCCGCACAAGAAATTAGTGATGACGCCTAGAGATGCTGGTGATCACTGTGAAGAGATTCACTGTCTGCAATACCAATTCTTCTCTCCAGGCAGAACAAGTCAAAGGCTTCCACAACAAGTGAGGAGGAACATGTTGGTTAGGAACATGTTGTGCAACATATATTGTTGAAAAACTTTCCAGATTATAGAATAATTATTTTAAAATTATTATTATTATTACATACCCGCACAAGACCATATTCAATATATTTATATGATTTCTTTATTTTGTACTTATTTTAATTATTTATATTTTCTAGTATACATACGTATTATTTCCTACTCAAAATATAGTTTGCACTTGAGTTGGTGATTATTCTTCACTTTAAAAAATATTGGGAATATATAAAAAAAAATATATAAAAAAATATATAATATATAAATAAGATTTGAAAGTGATTGTAAGAAAATATTCTGATTATATTCAATGATTATTGTCACTGTGATTCTGGAGTCTTCACAAAAGGACAGAAATCACAGTGAACCAGTCACAATCACTGGGGACAACAGCTTCCCTATCTACATCTGCTCCACACAACTATTATTATTGCTTTGCCGCTCTCGCTTTGGGGGCTCTCTTTTGTGCACACTGTAGGTCAGCAATGATTAGCCTATGTGAGAATCGTGATGCCAATGAAGCCTTTGTGACTCTTAGCTTTTTCTCTCCCTCTCCCTCTCTCTTTCTCTCTCTCGCTCTACTGCCACACTGTCTCGCTCGCTCCCAGCCGTCTGCTGATAAGAGATGCCTTTATCTGATTGCCAATGTGACACATTAAGGCGACGATGGGCCAACGCTTGTTATTGTTGGTGCTTTACGATCTGCACACGCACACACAAAAGCTATATATACTGATAAGAAGAGGTGTCTTCGGTCTTCTATCTTTTGGCTTCTTATCTTGTGACTCCTTTATCAGCCACACATTGTGTGTGGGATAAGTGATAAAATTTTGCACTTACCGGTGTTTATTTGTGGCTTTTTTCGAATAGTTTACTCGCCGAAATGTTCATAAAGCTTAGTAAAAGTATATTCTTGGGATTAAGGTATATCATCTAAGGGGTGATTTTTTATGAATCCCAGGGAAAGCCTGTAAATCCTTTAAAGATTTCAATAGAAATAAGCAGCAGGGCACTCAAAGTTTTAGGAGTTTACATTTTGAAGAATCGTATATGTGATTAGATTTGTGATATAGCTATAAGCTTTATGTAGAAAAATTAAATAACCTAATTATTTTGTTAATAGGAATCCCGACTGTAGCTTACCTTTTCCGTTATCAGCGAAATACATTTTTGAAAATCTGTCAAACTGGGAACAATAAAACCCGATTGCGTCATCCAAATATTATTTTCTATGGTATTAAGCTCGTGATCTGTGGAATTAAAATAAATGTGGGTCAATGGATTATCACTGCCCCGAAGTGAGATGCCAAATAGGCAATTACCCTGGGATACCCAGGGGGGGTATGTGATCATAGATCGTAGAGAGAGATAGATATAGGCATTAAGAGAGAGAAGACAGGATGATTTGCTGTACCGTTACAAACAGATACATGAAGTTCGATGAACACATGAACCAGTGAGTGCAATGACTCGTAGAAATAGATCCAATCGGAACTCATTTCCAGGTAAAACACAGGCAGAGTGAAAGAGTGAGACAAGAGACAGCTCCATTTAAGGTTTTACAGCAAAAACGTGATCAGCATGGTCCCCTTTTGACCCCCTCCGTGGCCGCCCTGTAACCACATCCCCTTGAAAGCAGAGTCGGAAAAACTTGTGCAAAATGCTGGTCACGTCCCAAGCCTCTGTATCTGTATCTGTATCTATAGCTGTAGCTGTATCTGAAGCTGCCTCTCGGCATCTGCCGCTGCCCGTTGTATCTGTATCTAACCCCAAAGCCCTGCGAAAGCCAATTAGATAAGTCTTGGCCATATTCCGGGCGACAAATTGATAACAGAGACACCGACCGCTAAACTTTACTGCCGCTCTGCGGGACGGGAAGTCGCTTGAGCTTAGGCCGGCTTATCGCAGCCTCGTTGGTAAAAAATAATACACAAAAACAAAAAAATACTCTATATTCGTAAGGTAAACAACAGTCAGTCTGGTTATCGCAAAGCGTGGGGGAGGGAGGAAGGTCTGGGGGGTCTGGGAGTGGTAATATGTATAATATAGTATTACTAACCGGAATGCAGGATTCCGGGAGAATTTTGAAGAAATACTAATTTGGTTAATAAATACAAAATAAATAATTATGTTACCTTTCGGTGTATAAGTCTGTATCTGAGTATTGGTTATTTCAGTAGGGAAAAACTAAACTTAGTTATAATAAAAAATTGGCATATAAAAAAAGGAAAAGTATTAAAGCCTAATCATTTTTTTTTCCTTTAATTTACATTATTTTTTTGGGACACTCAAAGTTTAAAAATCGCATAACTTTGTCAAAAATCCATTAATTTGAATTTGGAAACCGTTACTGTTTCGCGCTTCACAAATCTGCATACTCGGTTTAATTTGTTCCTGTGTTAGTTTTTTGAAGGCAAATAATTTTTGTTTGCTATTTTTTTTTTAAATCGATTTTTTTACATCATATTTTTAGGGACAACCACAGCTTAAAAATCGCATAACTTTGTCAAAAATGCCTTAATTTCAATTCGGAAAGCGTTCCTGAGTTAGTTCTTTGGCGCTTAACAATTCTGCATACTAAATTTTCCTTTTCAAGATATCAAAATTTTTTTTTTAATTTTTGCACATTTTATCGATGCAACCCCTTAAATTTTTTTGACAAATATTGAAATGGTTGTTTTGATTTCTGAGATGGCTAGATGGATTCGCCTGTTAATACTGATCAAGAATATATATGATTTATAGGGTCGGAAATGGCTCCTTCACTGTTAAAAATTATATTTTCCTCAGCGAGTTTCCTAAAATCGATATTTTTATTTGATAATTTTTTGTAAAGGATTTTTATTTCATATTTTTTTATATCATATTTTTTGGGACAGCCAAAGTTTAAAAATCGCATAACTTTGTCAAAAGTGCCTTAATTTCAATGGAAATGGAATCTTTTGATATTCCGCCGGCAGAGACATATAATGTTCATTTGCTGCTAAGCACACCGAACGTCCGTCTCTCAGTTTCGAAGCTATGTGAATAAAGCTTTGAAGTTAGTCGGGATGGATCGAATGACTATATAATATAGTTGCCATAGGAACGATCGGATAATAATTAGTAAACAAATTTAAAACTTTTCCAGTTTCATCTTATTTGATATAAAGCCATTAAGTATGATTTTATAATTTCGGTATTAGTTTTATTAAAATCGGCCGACTATATTATACAGCTGCCATAGGAACGATCGTTAAATATAGAAGTAAATGCAAAACTGTGCCTCTTTTACTCCATCTGGCTCCCTCTCCCTCTCTCTATCCAACCCTCCCTCGTACTCGCTCACTCCCCCTCTCTCTCTCTCTCTCTCTATCTCTCTCTCTCTCTCTCTTCCTCTCTAACATTTTCGGTGTGTCCATCTCCCTCTCTGTGCATCTCTAGAGATACGCCTTTCGCTGCATCTGCCTCTGCCTAGCTCTGGAGTTCTCTATTTCTCTCCCGCTCTCAGTTTCTCTGTTCTCTTGCCTCGCAGCCTATAAATACCGGGCTCTGCCGCCTTGCGGCCCTTAGTCTGTTCGTGGCGTCTCCAGTGTTTACATCTCGAGTGAAAGTGAAAGGCCTCCCCATCGACTCCAAAAATATGACGTGGCCAATTCGCATCATCTGGATAAACAGGAAGTGCTTATTTGATGACACCATGACAAGCCTAATTGGAGGTGCTCCTGGAGCTGCCCTGGAGCTGCTCCTAGCTGCTTCTGGACCTGCTCCTGGAGCTGCTCCTGGAGCTGCCCCTGGAGCTGCTCCTAGCTGCTTCTAGCTGCTCCTAGCTGCTCCTAGCTGCTCCTGGAGCTGCTCCTAGCTGCTCCTAGCTACTTCTGGCCCTGCTCCTGGAGCTGCTTCTGGACCTGCTCCTGGAGCTGCTTCTGGACCTGCTCCTGGAGCTGCTCTGGACCTGCTCCTGGAGCTGCTTCTGGACCTGCTCCTGGAGCTGCTCCTGGAGCTGCCCTGGAGCTGCTTCTGGACCTGCTCCTGGAGCTGCTTCTAGCTGCTTCTAGCTGCTCCTAGCTGCTCCTAGCTGCTCCTGGAGCTGCTCCTAGCTGCTCCTAGCTACTTCTGGCCCTGCTTCTGGACCTGCTTCTGGACCTGCTCCTGGAGCTGCTTCTGGACCTGCTCCTGGAGCTGCTTCTGGACCTGCTCCTGGAGCTGCTCCTAGCTGCTTCTAGCTGCTTCTAGCTGCTTCTAGCTGCTCCTAGCTGCTCCTAGCTGCTCCTGGAGCTGCTCCTAGCTGCTCCTGGAGCTGCTCCTAGCTGCTCCTAGCTACTTCTGGCCCTGCTCCTGGAGCTGCTTCTGGACCTGCTCCTGGAGCTGCTTCTGGACCTGCTCCTAGAGCTGCCCTGGAGCTGCTCCTGGAGCTGCTCCTGGAGCTGCCCTGGAGCTGCTCCTGGAGCTGCTCCTGGAGCTGCCCTGGAGCTGCTCCTAGCTGCTTCTGGACCTGCTCCTGGAGCTGCCCTGGAGCTGCTCCTAGCTGCTTCTGGACCTGCTCCTAGCTGCTTCTGGACCTGCTCCTGGAGCTGCTTCTGGACCTGCTCCTAGCTGCTTCTGGACCTGCTTCTGGAGCTGCTTCTGGACCTGCTCCTGGAGCTGCCCTGGAGCTG